TTGAACCTATTTTATACCAAAAGTAAATCTAATTTAAAGCTGCTTTGAACTTAAGTTGACTCTTCAACTAACCTACATTGAATCTGAATTGAAGCTATATGTTGACCCTAATTTGACTCTTCTATCAACCTATATTTAACATAATTTGACCCTTATATCAACCTATATTGTACCTGTTTTGAACCTAAATTGAAGCTACATTGAACCTATTTAGAACCTGAATTTAGACCAAAATTGAACCTACTTCGACCCTACTATTAAAACAATTTGAACCTACTTATAACCTTAATTAAACCTACGTTCACCCTACTGTCAACTTAACTTAAACCTACTTTGAACCTACATTGACCCTTTTATCAACCTACATTTAACCTATTTAGAACCTAAATTGAACCTACGTTTCACTTTTATCAACCTACATTGAACCTATTTTATACCAAAAGTAAACCTAATTTAAAGCTGCTTTGAACTTAAGTTGACTCTGCAACTAACCTACATTGAATCTGAATTGAAGCTATATGTTGACCCTAATTTGACTCTTCTATCAACCTATATTTAACATAATTTGACCCTTATATCAACCTATATTGTACCTGTTTTGAACCTAAATTGAAGCTACATTGAACCTATTTAGAACCTGAATTTAGACCAAAATTGAACCTACTTCGACCCTACTATTAAAACAATTTGAACCTACTTATAACCTTAATTAAACCTACGTTCACCCTACTGTCAACTTAACTTAAACCTACTTTGAACCTACATTGACCCTTTTATCAACCTACATTTAACCTATTTAGAACCTAAATTGAACCTACGTTTCACTTTTATCAACCTACATTGAACCTATTTTATACCAAAAGTAAACCTAATTTAAAGCTGCTTTGAACTTAAGTTGACTCTTCTATCAACCTACATCGAATCTGAATTGAAGCTATATGTTGACCCTAATTTGACTCTTTTATCAACCTATATTTAAACTAATTTGACCCTTATATCAACCTATATTGTAGCTGTTTTGAACCTACATTGAAGCTACATTGAACCTATTTAGAACCTGAATTTAGACCAACATTGAACCTACTTCGACCCTAGTATTAAAACAATTTGAACCTACTTATAACCTTAATTAAACCTACGTTCACCCTACTGTCAACTTAACTCAAACCTACTTTGAACCTACATTGACCCTTTTATCAACCTACATTTAACCTACTTAGAACCTAAATTGAACCTACGTTTCACTTTTATCAACCTACATTGAACCTATTTTATACCAAAAGTAAATCTAATTTAAAGCTGCTTTGAACTTAAGTTGACTCTTCAACTAACCTACATTGAATCTGAATTGAAGCTATATGTTGACCCTAATTTGACTCTTCTATCAACCTATATTTAACATAATTTGACCCTTATATCAACCTATATTGTACCTGTTTTGAACCTAAATTGAAGCTACATTGAACCTATTTAGAACCTGAATTTAGACCAAAATTGAACCTACTTCGACCCTACTATTAAAACAATTTGAACCTACTTATAACCTTAATTAAACCTACGTTCACCCTACTGTCAACTTAACTTAAACCTACTTTGAACCTACATTGACCCTTTTATCAACCTACATTTAACCTATTTAGAACCTAAATTGAACCTACGTTTCACTTTTATCAACCTACATTGAACCTATTTTATACCAAAAGTAAACCTAATTTAAAGCTGCTTTGAACTTAAGTTGACTCTTCAACTAACCTACATTGAATCTGAATTGAAGCTATATGTTGACCCTAATTTGACTCTTCTATCAACCTATATTTAACATAATTTGACCCTTATATCAACCTATATTGTACCTGTTTTGAACCTGAATTGAAGCTACATTGAACCTATTTAGAACCTGAATTTAGACCAAAATTGAACCTACTTCGACCCTACTATTAAAACAATTTGAACCTACTTATAACCTTAATTAAACCTACGTTCACCCTACTGTCAACTTAACTTAAACCTACTTTGAACCTACATTGACCCTTTTATCAACCTACATTTAACCTATTTAGAACCTAAATTGAACCTACGTTTCACTTTTATCAACCTACATTGAACCTATTTTATACCAAAAGTAAACCTAATTTAAAGCTGCTTTGAACTTAAGTTGACTCTTCAACTAACCTACATTGAATCTGAATTGAAGCTATATGTTGACCCTAATTTGACTCTTCTATCAACCTATATTTAACATAATTTGACCCTTATATCAACCTATATTGTACCTGTTTTGAACCTAAATTGAAGCTACATTGAACCTATTTAGAACCTGAATTTAGACCAAAATTGAACCTACTTCGACCCTACTATTAAAACAATTTGAACCTACTTATAACCTTAATTAAACCTACGTTCACCCTACTGTCAACTTAACTTAAACCTACTTTGAACCTACATTGACCCTTTTATCAACCTACATTTAACCTATTTAGAACCTAAATTGAACCTACGTTTCACTTTTATCAACCTACATTGAACCTATTTTATACCAAAAGTAAACCTAATTTAAAGCTGCTTTGAACTTAAGTTGACTCTTCAACTAACCTACATTGAATCTGAATTGAAGCTATATGTTGACCCTAATTTGACTCTTCTATCAACCTATATTTAACATAATTTGACCCTTATATCAACCTATATTGTACCTGTTTTGAACCTAAATTGAAGCTACATTGAACCTATTTAGAACCTGAATTTAGACCAAAATTGAACCTACTTCGACCCTACTATTAAAACAATTTGAACCTACTTATAACCTTAATTAAACCTACGTTCACCCTACTGTCAACTTAACTTAAACCTACTTTGAACCTACATTGACCCTTTTATCAACCTACATTTAACCTATTTAGAACCTAAATTGAACCTACGTTTCACTTTTATCAACCTACATTGAACCTATTTTATACCAAAAGTAAACCTAATTTAAAGCTGCTTTGAACTTAAGTTGACTCTTCAACTAACCTACATTGAATCTGAATTGAAGCTATATGTTGACCCTAATTTGACTCTTCTATCATCCTATATTTAACCTAATTTGACCCTTATATCAACCTATATTGTACCTGTTTTGAACCTAAATTGAACCTACATTGAACCTATTTAGAACATGAATTTGGACAAACATTGAACCTACTTCGACCCTACTATTAACACACTTTGAACCTACTTAGAACCTAAATTAAACCTACGTTTCACTTTTATCAACTTACATTGAACCTATTTTATACCAAAAGTAAACCTAATTTAAAGCTGCTTTGAACTTAAGTTGACTCTTCAACTAACCTACATTGAATCTGAATTGAAGCTATATGTTGACCCTAATTTGTCTCTTCTATCAACCTATATTTAACCTAATTTGACCCTTATATCAACCTATATTGTACCTGTTTTGAACCTAAATTGAACCTAAATTGAACCTATTTTGACCTTTATATCAACATTAAACCTATTTAGAACCTAAATTAAACCTACGTTAAACCTACGTTGGCCCTTCTGTCAACTTACCTTAAACCTACTTCGAACCTACTTTGATCTTTCTATCAACCTAAATTTAACCTATTTAGAATCCAAATTGAAACTGTTGGTTCTTCTATCTACCTACCTTGAACCTATTTAGAACCTAAATTGAACCTTCGTTGATTCCCCTATAAACCTACATTCAATTTATTTAGAATCTAAATTTCACCTTCGTTGATCCTCTTTTGACCCTACTATTTACATAACTTGAACCTATTTAGAACTAAAATTAAACCTACATTGAACCTACGTTGACGCTTCTATCAACATACATTGAATCTGTTTTGAACCTGAATCGAAACTACATTTAACCTAATTTGACCCTTCTATCAACCTTCTCTGATCCTATTTTGAACTATCATTAATCTTACCTTCTATCTTCATTGACTGTTGTATGAATCTGTACTCTACCTAAACATTAGACCTAAATTGAGTCTTAGCGAACCTTTTCTAAATCTAAATTGAACCTATATTATTCTAACTTACACCTGGATTAACCCTTGAATAAACCTATTTTGAACCAAAATTATATTTCATTGAATTCACTTTTAAACCAACATTGATCTTAGTTCGACCCGGAAGCATTAAATCACTGAAGAAAGAACAATAAAATTTTTAATTTTAATTTCTTTTTTATTTCAATAAAATATCTTTAAGCTTTATAAAGATTTACAATAAAATGCCCTAATTATTATTCTTTATATAACAGCATAAATTGTTTATTGTTATGAATTAAAAAAAAAAAAAGAATGATTAACCAGGGCTCAAATAATAATCGTGAATGACCGCAATATCCCAGGGACTCATGTCGTCAGGCGAGGACTCTCTCTTACACATACAATATTAATTTCTTATCAAACCTTCATTGAAGGGGAATTATATATATATATATATATTGAAAGCAAAGAAAACTTGACAAGTGTCAGAGCAGTAGTATCGAGAATGTTAAGAACGTAAGAACAAATTAAAATCATTTTTAAAATTACAATTATTCCCCTTAAATAAAACTGTCTGTTAATTCTAATAGGGTGATAATTATTTTAAGAAATTTCACTTTGTATTTAGAGATATTGAACAATTTGTAAAGTAGAAAAGTGCATTTACCCTGTGATAAGTGTTTATATATATATATATATATATATATATATATATATATATTTAACTTGGATTAACTGTAATTAATATACAATCTCATTAAAGAGGTGAAGTTCAACACACTTTAAAGAGTATAATAATAGTTTTATGATAAAAAAGAATTTAATTATTGTCATTAAATATTATAAAATAGTAAATGAATTCTTCCTCTTTTTTTTTATTAATTTTTTGTAAAATAAAAAACATCCCCAAAAATGCAACATTTCTAGAATCCCCCACCCACCCTCATCATCGCCCCACCTAGTTATCGTTGCGTTTGAAACCGCTATATAAAAGGCGTCGCGATACTATATGAACGCTGATTTTACAATGAAGTCGAGTATCATCGCGACAAAATCCTGTGGTGCGTGGACTTGCGTCTTCGTAACCTTAGTGGTCCTTCAAATTTTTGGATTAACATATTCAATGCCCTTCGGTAACGGTCAACAAACAATTCGACTCTGTTCTAGGAGTCTTAGTGATGCGCTTTATCTTATTTGTCAAGGTAGAGGATATAATAGTCCATTTTCATATAGTAGCGAAGATGATACAAGAACAACAAGCACAAATGGTCCTGGTCTCGTTGATGAGTGTTGTTTACAATCATGCAATATTAAACAACTTGAATTATATTGTAAACCACCGAGCGATGATAGTACATCCCAGGATGGCATGTGAGTAAGGAACTTTTATTTTATTTTTTATTTTTTCTTTTCATTTCTTAAATCATAAAGGGAGAAAAAAGATTTCTTTGATTCAAAGAAATCAACTTCTTTGATAAAAATTTTTCTTTGATACAAAGAAAATTTATTTGTTTCAAAACAAATTATTTTTGATTCAAAAAAAAATTATCTTCGTTTCAAAAGAAATTTTTTATTTAATTCAAATAAATGTTTCTTTTACACTCTTATATCAATGTTAGAATTTCTTTGATTTAATGCACAAATTTCTTTCATTCAAAGAAAATTTTCTTATTAAAATTTATTAATTTATAATAATTTTATAAACATTTAAATTTTTTTTGTTTTTTAATTTTTTTTTTTAAATACAAATACAAATAAATAAAAGTGGAAAATTTTGATATTTTTAATTTTCTACCATAATTCTATGGATCAAATATTTGTAATTATATTGTTAATAAATCATGAATTATTAAAATATATTTTCAAAAATTTTAATGAAATTAAAAAAAAAAAATTTAATATTTTATAAATCTTTAAGAGCATTTGAACCTTCGTGACGTCACAAATCATGGCGCATGACACGCAAACTTCTCAGGTATGTGAAAAGCACAATTTTGAATATTTTTTAAAAAAACCTTTTGGAAAATGTTCAGAATAACATAGACTGTGTCTGTTATGTGCGGAAAATTCAAAATTTTGCGTTTAAAACGTTTTTTAAGCAATGCCTACATATAAGCAATTCGTGTATTTTTCCTTACTTGTGACAACCAACTTAAACATTGTTTAAAAAACGTTTTATACGCAAAATTTTGAATTTTTCGCACATAACAGACATAGTCTATGTTTCTCTGAACATTTTCCAAAAGGTTTTTTTAAAAAATATTCAAAATTGTGTTTTTCACATACCTGAGAAGTTTGCGTGTCATGCGCCATGATTTGTGACGTCACGAAGGTTCAAATGCTCTTAATCAAATTTTACAAAATTTCAATTATTTAACATCCTTGGTAAATGAAATATCTTCAAAAATTAAATTATTTTCAAAATTGCAATTTTAACATGTAATAATAAAACAATTTCAAAATTAAATTATTTTACATTAAATCCAAATAATTCAATTATTTTATAAATATTTTTAACTAAACCTCGATAATTTTTATGATTTTCAAAAATTTTAATAAATTTCTTTAATAATTTACTGAGTTTAACAATTGATATATTAAATATTTATACATTATATATTGTTTTTTAAACACAAATTTTCATACCCAGAAAATATTAATTTTTTTTAAAAAAAAGTCAAAAAAATATATAAAAATTTAATTGATATTAAAAATTTTTTTATGCATCTCATCAAAATATCGAATCATTTTCAAAAATTTAAATTAAATTTTTTTTTTCTTGGAAATTTGTATAAAATTTTGTAAGCATTCAAATATTAAAATTGCTGTAAAAAATTAACAACTACCTAATCTTCTAAAATTCAATTAATTTATTAAAAAAAAAAAATGTTTAATAATAATTAAGCGCCAATTTTATTTATTTTTAAAAAAAGTTTGATTAAAATTCTTGAAAAATTTATAAGTTTATGTAATTTAAAAACTTTTAATAAAATTTTTTAAAATATCCAATAGTTTTAAATATTTGCAAAATCAAATTTTAACAAAATTTCAATTATTTTACATCCTTTTAAATAAATATTTTCAAAAATTAAATTATTTTTAAAATTGTAATTTTAAAATAGAATATAATAAAACAATTGTTAATAAATTCTTAAAAAATTAAATTACTTTTGAAATTTTTATAATTTAAAATTATTTAAAATTATTTTTAACAAAGTTTTTAGTAATAAACAATCGCGCATTATTAATAAATAATACAAACACAGGTGAAATACATTAGTAAACATTATTTTATTGACAAGTGTGAGGCTGCAGTCCCATGGCAGCGTTTTGAGTTGCGTTTTGTCACTAGACCATGAGTGTAAAAGAGATGCAGATATATGTTTGCTATGTTTACACTCAGGGTCTAGTGACAAAACGCAACGCAAAATGGTGCCATAGGACTGCAGCCTGAGAAAAATTCTATGAATATAAAATACCAAGTATACATATATAATAGAGTTTTATAGCTTCCCAACCCTGGTATAGGAGAGGGGACTGACAGCCAGGAGTTTCACATAATAGACGTTACATATTTTAAATGATTAATTCGCATCTATTAAAATATTGTTTATGAGATATTTCAACTATGTGTATAGGGTAAATGGTACAGGTGATCGACACCTGCTATTAAAAACGATAATAACTATAGAAATAATAACATTGAATTAAATATTACTAGTAAATTAATTAATATACGATATTTCGAAACTGATACAATTGACAAAAAGTTTTATATATGTTTATATTTTCCTCAATATTTTACTTTCTAGAAAACTAACCTCAAAAAATTTGCTTTATTGATTACAATTTTTATGAATTAAGAAATTGTTAAATAATTATATTTTAAAAGTCACTTTTTTTGTACATTAAATCTGAATAATAAAATTTGTGATAATATTAATAAATATCATATGTTACTTAAATAGTAGTTGAAATATTTTTTACTTTATTAATGGGTGTCGTTCACTGTATTCATACCATACATTTTTAAATTAATATTATAAACTCTTATTAAAGTATTTTTTTAATTTTAAATTTATATACTATAAATTTTAACTCAAATCTTTTATTTGAAATTTATTTTATAATTAAATCTTTAATAAATTCAAATAAAATGTCATTTAAATTTGAAAGTATGCCCAGGGTTGTTGATTACTGTACACGTTATCATATTATTTATTAATAATGTGATTGTTTATTACTAAAAACTTTGATAACTATGCTATGCTATTTGTATCTATTCTATTATTAAAATAATTAGGAAAATAATTGAAAAAATAGTTAAAAAGTAATTCGTTATCAGAAATTATAGTTAGTTTGACATAACCTAAAAGAGAATATATAATTATAGAATATATTATAATTATAATAATATAATAATAATTATAATAATATTATAAAATATAATAATTATATAAGAATATATTATAAATATATAATTATTTATTTTAACTAAAAGATTAGTAGAAATATTACTATTTTAAATTGTGATTGACTTTTCAATTTTTTTTTTTCAAATTTAGAGAATATCATTAAATAAAAATATAATCACTTTAAAAAATCCGAAATTTTTTCACAAAATACTTTCTTTTTTTTATAAAGCAAAAATTCTTTAGGTAACCAGTAGTGTTTGAAATCAATTTATTGCATTAAAATATGAGTTTTTTTAATTAATTTAATTTTTTTTTGTCTCTTACAAAAATATGTTTTATTTTTAAATGTAAATAATTTTAATGTGAAATTATAAATGTTATAATTATTAAATTATTAGAATTAAATAAAATATAAATTTTTATATTATTATAGGCAAAAATAATTTTTTTCTTTAAATAAAACTAGAAACAATTTAAATAATCTAAAACATATATTTTCTCTAATAAAACACCATCGATCACGTTCTTAATAAATGATTTTCTCAATAGGCTATCTCCTTTCAATTTTTACATTTTATATTGGTTTTCCAAACTGCAAAGTCATTAATAATTAACAGCATACTCTGTATAGGTTAGATTAATTGTTAGATTAAATTTTATAACATGTGATTGATAACTTTCTTTAAACATTGGAAAATTTTATAATTTTTCTCCTGTTCTCTTTTTTTCAGCACTCTATATTAAAATTTTTTTTTGCACTCATTTTTTTTTTTAACTGATAGTTTTATTTCCTTGCAATCTCTCTTTCTCTTCGCAATATATATATATATATATATATATATATATATATATATATATATATATATATATATATATATATATATATATATGCATAAATAACGTGTTTTAACCTTCATTGAAATTTTTAAAAAATATTTACCAACATATAAACATTTTAGTTTTCCTGTTATTTGTATTATTAGCGCGTGTGGTAATTGACCCTTAGAAATGACACAATAGGTCAGACTAAAATTAATTAGGTATCACTTAATTTCTTTAACGAAATTTTGGAGTCAAAACACTTTTAGATTATAACTGATTATTATGAGTAATTTTTTATTTTATGTTTATTTGTTTTTTTTTTTTTTAATACAAAAGTGACATAATTAATCTAACATTAAGCTTCTTTGATTTTACTAATAATAATAATTAATTTGTATGCTTTAAAGTTCACATTATACCAATAATCAGTAATTGTTGTTGATACAATAAAACCCGGAAGCTAAATCGAGATTCTCTCAATTAGTTGCTCATATATAATGTTATTTTCTGTAGGTCGCTAATCTGCGGCCTCAATATTCGCGGATGATTATAATTACAAGACAAGTAAAAATAAACAATAAATAAAGATAAAATATTATTCTTTGATAATATTTTTTGTCAAAACAAATATTTCTTTTTTAATTTTTTTTTTTTTGCATACATTGTAAACAAAATATATTATAAATACTATTTTTTCTATTCGATCTAGGATCATCATCAATTATGATTTTTGTCATATAATAATAAAAAAAAACATTTTTTTTTTATCTTTTTGAATTTCTAATCTTTAGAAAAATTATTTTCACAGTATTTAATTTCGAAAAAAAAGTTAGTAGTTTCAGTAATTTATTATCAACAGTAATTAAAAGCGGTTCGTTGACTTGTTTTCAAAAATTAATCGGTCATTTCTTTCTACGCTTATTGTATAGAGGGTCTTTGATCGCATAAAATAGTGAGCGAAGTCCAAAGCGTTTGGATATATTCTTAAATGTCGGAAGCCATAGATTGAAGAAAAAAAAAGAATAGAAAAACACATTGTTAAAAAAAAATTCTATTTAATCTCAGTGTTACAAAAAAAAAAAAAAAAAAAAATCAGTTATTAATTATCTTTGGGAAATTTCATCAAAAGAAGTTTATATAATAGTTGTGGGCAGAAAATTTCAAATTATAAAGAAAAATAAATTTTTTTTAGTAATAAATTTTTAAATTTGAACACTTATAATTAAATAAATAATAAATAAATATATTTAAATAAATAAAAATTTAACTAATTTAATTTTTTCTAATAAAAATTTTCTTTTTTATTTTACAGGGATGAATCAGTGAGAATAGTGAATCTTCCTGATTCTTCAGAGACAAAACCCACAGAAGATATTGCAAGAGGAACGTTAAAACGTAAGAATATTATACAATCTAAATTGAATGGACATGATAAATATTTTGAAATAAAAAAATTTTACAATTTTTTAAAAAATATTAATGGAAACTGGATATTTATAAATAACAGTGTGGATAAAAAAAAATGTAAATACAATTGCAGATCTTGGTTTCAACTTAAGAAAAGACGTCGTAAAAAGGTTTTTTTTCTAATTCTAAAAAAAAAATTGTTCTAATTTCTTCACAACATAAAACTTGGCACCTTTTTCATAAGTAGAACACTGCTTTTTACGCACATTAATAAATAATTATTCTTTTTGTATTTAAATAGAAATATATTTTATTTTATAATAATTATATTATTATTATTATTATTATTATTTGTATCCGTTTCTTATTTAGTCTATTTCACGAAGTAGTACAAGGAGTCATATCGCTGTTTATAAAAGATGTCCCCGTTTTCGGTATTCACGGTTCTCAAGTTTTCACCAATCTAATTACACTTACGCCAACTGCGGGAAATTGTGGTATTAAACTCTGTATTCTGTAAACACGTGATTTTAATACCTAGGTTACCCTCTAGAGGCGCAAGTGTAATTAGATTGGTGAAAACTTGAGAACTGTGAATACCGAAAACGGGGCTACATTCCGTTAGAGCCGGCCCATACAGTGTTGTCAGATGCCTATGGCGCTTTTCCCCTAGATGGCTAGATATTTTCCACTAAAAATAAATTTTTTCCACAACAAATTTTTTTTCCTAATTTTCACTAGAAAAATAAAAATAAATAAATAGAAAACGTAAAAATTCTTAACTCAACGCAAAATTTAAAATTTTTGACACTAATTATGCAAAAGTTATTTAAACTTAGAGAATAGTTTAATAAAATTTAATATAGTTCAAGGTAATAAATATATAACAATAATGATAGACATTTTTTTGGAATTTAATTATTTAAATATTAATTCCAATTAACAGCAGTGCAGGGCTTGGCACGTAGAAGAGCAGCCTTTCTTATAGAACTGTGTGACTAATTTTGATTGGCCGAATCTGAACATTTGCTCAATCGCCATCAGTGTAACCAATCAAATTCACTTAAATAGTTTAATCTTAGTGACCACACATTTAATACTTCAGATACAATTTACGTAGAAAAAATTACATTTAGGTAAAAACACTAAAAAAAAACAGCAAAGAAAAAAAGATACTAAATTTCCTACTAAAATATTTCTCCTACTAAAAATGTTACTGAAGGACCAAAATCTTACTAAATTTAGTGGGAAAACCACTAACTTGGCAACACTGCGGCCATAGGTCATATGTCTCCTTATACTACTTCGTGGTCTATTTTCTGAAAATTCTCTACATGTTTTGATGTTATCTTAGACGACCTTGAATTTTTCTATTGCACTCGCATGTAAAAATTCGTGAATGTATAACATAACCTTAAGGTAAACGTTTGTTTCAGAACACAAAAAATTACTATATTTTGTTATCTCACACATATTTAGGGTAAAGAGTACAGTAACCGACACCCAGGGCATACTTTCAACTTTAAATGACATTTTATCGGAATTTATTAAAAATTTAGTTATAAAATAAATTTCAAATAAAAGATTTGAGTTAAAATTTATAGTATATAAATTTAAAATTAAAAAAACACTTTGATAAGAGTTTATAATATTAATTTAAAAATGTATGGTATGAATACAGTGAACGATACCTATTAATGAAGTAAAAAATATTTCAATTACTATTTAAGTAACATATGATATTTATTAATATTATCACAAATTTTATTATTCAGATTTAATGTACAAAAAAAGTGACTTTTAAAATATAATTATTTAACAATTTTTTTAATTCATAAAAATTGTAATCAATAAAGCAAATTTTTTGAGGTTAGTTTTCTAGAAAGTAAAATATTGAGGAAAATATAAACATATATAAAAATTTTTGTCAACTGTATCAGTTTCGAAATATCGTATATTAATTAATTTACTAGTAATATTTAATTCAATATTATTATTTCTATAGTTATTATCGTTTTTAATAGCAGGTGTCGATCACCTGTACCATTTACCCTATACACATAGTTGAAATATCTCATAAACAATATTTTAATAGATGCGAATTAATCATCTAAAATATGAAACGTCTATTATGTGAAACTCCTGGCTGTCAGTCCCCTCTCCTATACCAGGGTTGGGAAGCTATAAAACTCTATTATATATATACTTAGTATCGGTTACTGTGCCTTTTATCATTCTAAATTAAAAAGAAAACTTGTTATATTTAAAAATATATCATTTTTAACTAAAAGAAACAATTTTTGTTCTAAAATTATGATCTATTGTTTTTTAAAGGACGTCAAAGTGTGAAATTTATAATTTAATAATTTTTAATATTTTCACAATAAATCAACAAGAGAATATATGTTTATCCACAATACTGAAAAAAAAGACCAAAGTCAAAATCTCGATTAGGGCGCACTCACACCTTCTTGCTGCCTGCCTGCAGGAGTTGTCATGGCAACGTGCAGGAGTAAGAGAGAGAGAAAATTCAAATTTGAATTTACTATCTCTGTTACTCCTACACGTTGCCATGACAACTCGTGCAGGCAGGCAGCCGAGAGGTGAGAGTGCAGCCTTAGATTATTTATTGCAATTAGCGGCAGAGTAAAAAAATTACAAATTTTACACAACTCTAACTTTGGTGCCCTCTGAAAATAATAAATAATAATTAAAAATTAAAAATTGTTTAGTTAAAATAAGTTTTTAAATGTTTTTTTTTTAACTTAGAATAAAAATAAAATTTTTCGTTTTTGAAAAAACAGGCGTCTGCCTTTTTAAGTATCAAGATTTAACCACTTTTTTTTAATGATGGAGGCCGTAGCATAACCTTAAAACTGAAAAATCTTCTTTAATGTAAACAAAAATTGTAATTTTTTAAAAAAATTTTATAGACTTCTAAAAATTATTTGAAATCCATTTTTATTTTGTTTGCGTTAAAAACTATTTTTCAGTTTTGAGGTTATGTAATAACCTCAATCTTCCTTAGTGGATATAGACACTGACGATTTAAATCTGTAAATAATTTAATTTCTAAATCAATTTTGTTATTATTAACGACTAGTATTTAGAAATTTAATTTCTCTGTCGCAAAAAATTAATTTAAAAAGACAAAATACGATTTCAATTTTCAATGTGCGTTCACTAACTATACTGAAGTTAGCTACAACTACACGCAACAGTTGGCAACACTACTTTTTATCACCTCTTAACGCAACACTTATGGGAAATCCCCGGCTTTATCTTAAACCTAGATTCAGATCGTCAGTGTTTATAAAAAAAAAGAAAATTTCATGGAGAAATTATCACTTAATGATTATTTTTATTATTACAGATTCTCGATAAATTGATCGTTTCAAAAAAACGAAAATTTCAAGTGGGTACTACGTCACCGGAGCCGAGTAATAACATTGTGATATTTCCATTAAGAACTTACTATGGCTTGGAAAAGTCACAATATGTTTCTGACTACCTAAAAGAATCTAATCGAAAAAAGTTGTCACTTACGAAAATTCCATTGGATCCTTATGTTCTTAACAAGAAATAATTATAAACATCCAAGTTTTTCATGAAGATTTCAATTTTTTTGACAATGGTTCATCTCTAGACTCTACCCTAATTTTTACGTGTAAATCAAGAAGATGATAAAAATGTGAAAATTGTATACTTAAGTTTAAAAAAGTGCTGTGAATCATTCAATTAAAAAAAAAAAAAACATTAGACTTTGGCGCAGAAATAAGTGAGTTTTATCACTTCAAACATATTAATAATGAGAGCTTTGTCTGTGTCAAAGATTCTGAATAATTCATCTAAAATAAATTTCAATCATTATCATCTACTATATAAGTAAGTGTGAATGAGTGATTGTACAAAGAGTTTTAAAAACTAAACCGAAAGTTGATTACAGAAACAACTATAAGTAGAATAATATATATATATTTTTTTTTATTCCATTAACAGTAAAAAGAAATTCTAGAGGAAGAACCATTTTTTAAAAATTAAAATTAATTAAGACGGAAAACTGCTATGACAAATTTTGGAGTATAAAAATGAATTATAAATAGAAACTTCAAAATTTGTTCACCACTAGTTTTTTTCTATCTAAAACCACAATTTTGAAATATCGAATTTTATTAACGTCAATCTAGTTTTTTAGCCAGTTTCTTTATATTATTTTTTTTAAGATATCTAAGAATCTGATATATAAGATAACTTAAGTAAACTTCATTATGCTTCCTGATAATATTATTAACTATAAATTCAATAAGTTACAATAGTCTTAATGTAAAAAAATGGTTCTTTTAAATAAGATAAATAAACTTGGTTTAAAGAACGTAAAATTCAAATAATTACACAGAATGGTCACAATTTCAAGATTTAATATCTGAATCATTTTTTTTTTAACAGTTGAAAATGATTTAACTGTAAATTTATACTTGTTATTTCTGTGATACCTTTTCGGGCGAAAAGAGACTTTGATTTGAATAAGTATTTCGAACGCAAAAGAATGTTGTTTGTAATATGCGTTCATCTGTGACTTTCTTAACAAATCGCTTTAATGACCAATGATCTCATTAGTTTAAACTTATAAAATAATATTGTACATTATTGTTTTTTTTCTAGTTATTAATCTCTACAAAAATATTGTATAATAAAAAAAAATCGACAAATCTCGATAGCCTATGCTTCTTGTTGTCGAGATACTGAAAAAGGAAGCAATATAAAATAAATAATGAATCTTATATATATATATACATGTAGATCTAATTATTGTATAGGGAAAACCAAGACAATTTAATAATTATTATTATTGTAAAATTTTCAAGAATTAAGGGCATTTTAATATAGACAATTTAATTAAATAATAAATTTTATTAATTTTTTTTTTGACAAATATGCAGAAAATAATTTTTAAATATATTAAAGGAAACATTAGTTGATAAAATGTAAACGATTGGCTTGAAGTTGGAATTTTACTTCTAAATGGAATTAATTGGAAATTAACGTTGATGAATATTGAAATTAAAAGTTTAAAATATCAATTTTTTATTATTATTATTTTTAATATTAATTAATTTATTAATTTTTTGCAAAAATAGCTATAACTTTTTGGAAAATAAATATATTCAATTTTTATTTGAAATTCAAACGTATTTTTTCGTGTTAATTACGAAAAAAAATTATAAC